GTCACGCGTGTGTCATCTCTGCGTGCGTGCGTGTCACGCGTGTGTCATCTCTGCGTGCGTGCGTGTCACGCGTGTGTCATCTCTGTGTGCGAGTGTGTCACACGTGTGTCATCTCTGCGCGTGTCACGCGTGTGTCATCTCTGCGTGCGTGCGTGTCACGCGTGTGTCATCTCTGCGTGCGTGCGTGTCACGCGTGTGTCATCTCTGCGTGTGTGTCACACGTGTGTCATCTCTGCGTGTGTGTTCGTCACGCGTGTGTCATCTCTGCGTGTGTGTGTGTCACACGTGTGTCATCTCTGCGTGTGTGTGTGTCACACGTGTGTCATCTCTGCGTGAGTCACGTGTGTGTCATCTCTGCGTGCGTGTGTGTCACGTGTGTGTCATCTCTGCGTGTGTGTGTGTCACACGTGTGTCATTTCTGCTCTGCGTGTGTGCGTGTCACCAGGTTGTTGGACCCGGACGTGACAGCTCAGCACGACGCGTACAAGCACGCCTACGCGAACGTACTCTACTACTGGAAGCTGCACGAGCGACGCATAGAGGTGCTCAACTTCGTCTCCTCGGCAACCGAGCAGCATCGCGGAGTCGGTATGTGCTGCCCTCTATACTATTACATTATTATACTATTATTATTATTATTATTATTATTATTATTATACTATTTTCATTTTATAATTACGGTGGTTTTCTTGAGTGGTAGTTATAGAAAAAGTTACATTTTTTACAGAACTTGTGCCAGTCAACAAAGCTTTTCTCGTGTTTTTGTGTACGCAGGCAGTTATAGAGTAAAACCACCTCCAGATAGAACTAATGCCTCTCAATAAACCTCTCTTACAGTCATATTTTCCTCGTTCTCTATTTTTTATGATGTAACTTCCTGTATAGAAGGGTCACCTCTCTATAAAGGCCATCTCTCTTAAAATCTCCATCTATAAAGGCTATCTCTCTCGCTTCGCTTGCAGAGGTGCAGACGCTCTGCCATCACTGTGGGGAGAAGAACGCTACGGGAGGACCGCAGTGCAGCCACTGCAAGCACTACGCGTTCCGATGCTCAGTCTGCCACGTGTCCGTGAAAGGTAGGTGGCGCCCCCGTGCACGCGCAGCGCCGCCAGGTGGCGGCAGGGGTCCATGAAAGGTGGGTCGCACGCCGCGCCACCAGGTGGCGGCACGGGTCCATGAAAGGTGGGTTGCCCCCGCGCGTACGCCCCGCCATCAGGTGGCGGCACGTGTCCAGGACAGTTGGTATCTGTTTTGCAGCTTCACTATGAGAGAGCGTAGAAATGCGTGCGGAGAGCTATTGCTAGAGCATGCAACATAACTTGGCTAGAATAAGCTAGACTCGGCCCATGTCACGTGGCTAGGCAGGCTTTTTGCGTGGTTCGGAGTAATTTTTCTGCGATTACGGTCTACTATAAACGATCTTAAAGTGATTACGTCACGCGTAAAATATAAATAAAAAAAATAAAAAAAATATTTCCACTTTTTCACAAAAATATAAGTGATTCTGTTCACTTTTTATGGTTAAATTGTTGCATATACTTTCTATTTTACGTATATTGTTCAATGTGAACGAGTACACTCGCGTACTCAATGACTATAGCCATAGCAAGCAAATCTAATTGTCAGGAACATAGATATCAAAGTCGTCCAGGTTTTTGGAGTGTTGTTAACATAGTTGATGTAAACAATCTTATCAGGTAAGAAGTTTGACGATACCGTTTAGTCCTGTGTAGTGTCTTACTTTTTACTGTAAACAATGGCACATAAAATTTTACAAATTTTACCCATCAGAAAATCTGTGACGTAGTCAATTTTAACAGTTGTGTATTATGAAGTATATGAAATTAAGTTGCTTCAGGTGGCATTTGGAGAATGTTAATTAGAGTGTTAATTAGTTTAATGTAAGAATGATGACGCCATGCTCCGATTGTACACGCTGTCTCCAGAAATACCTCACTGCTTGTACGTGCTCTAAATTATCTTTATGTTCCAATCACACTCACTCTTCTCGCGTCACTCATCTCTGACTCTGGCTCTCTCCTCTCCCCTCCTGCTTCCTCTCTCTCTCTCTCTCTCTCTCTCTCTCTCTCTCTCTCTGCTCTCTCGTGCTCCATCTCACCACCACCTCTCGGTCTCTCTGCAGGGCCGGCTAACTTCTGTCTGGCGTGCTACCACGGCGGCCACACCTACCACCTCATGGACTGGTTCGCCGAGCAGGAGGTGTGTCCGACCGGCTGCGGATGCCGCTGCCTCAAGGCCAGCACCATGTTTGCCGACTACACCGCATCTGCAGAACATTGACCCGCGCGCGTGAGACACTGAGTGTGAGACACTGAGTGTGAGACACTGAGTGTGAGACACTGAGTGTGAGACACTGAGTGTGAGACACTGAGTGTGAGACACTGACTGTGAGACACTGAGTGTGAGACACTGACTGTGAGACACTGAGTGTGACACACTGACTGTGAGACACTGAGTGTGAGACACTGAGTGTGAGACACTGACTGTGAGACACTGAGTGTGAGACCCCCCAACACATGAGACATTGCACATGAGACACGGCGCATGAGATACAACGCATGAGACATGGCGCCTGAGACACCAATGCATCACTTCCATGTGAGACCATGTGCGTGAGACACTGCAAATGAGACACTGCGCATGAGACACTTCCGTGTGAGACAAGGTGTGTGAGACACTGCACATGAGACACTGCGCATGAGACACTTCCGTGTGAGACAAGGTGTGTGAGACTCTGGCCTGCGAGACGTGCGAGACAGCCGTGGAACGCCACCGCGCGAGATTACAACGCGCGAGACAATCTACGCGTCGTCAGCAATCGTTGGGGGGTCAGTTCCCGGTGACATTGCTCTCACCCCCCCATCTTCCCTTCCAGCACAGCGCGCGATCGTAGGAGCGAGTATGCGATACACTCCGATTGTGTAATGACGGCTTTTTAGCGCGCATACCCTGCAGTCGGCGCAGATCGTTGCTCCGTCTGCGTAAGAGGAGACGTGACTTAGTCTCGCGGCGCGAAGGACGAAGCCCCGTCGAGGCTCGGATGCTCGGATGTTTCGCTTCCGGCTCGTCGTCGTCGTTCGTCGCGGAAACATCGCATTGTCGTTGTTTTTTTAGTTGAAAAAAGCGTGGCCGCGGATGGTGTGTTCAAATAAGGTTTCCTCCCTCCTCCCCTTCCCCTCCTCCCCTCTTCCCCTTTCCCCGCGACGTATTAAGGACAAGAAGAACACGTATAAACTTGTTAGGGTTGTCGCTTGGTAAAATTCCCATGCCGTGTGTTTTCTCCCCTTCCTCCCCCCTACCTCCCCCTTCTCCCCTTTCTCTCCCTTCTCTCTTTCCTCTCCCTTTTCCCCTTCTTCTCCCTTCTCCCCTTCCTCTCCCTTCTCCCTTTCCTCTCCCGTCGCCCCTTCCTCCCCCTTTTCCTCTTCTCCTCTCCGCCGCTCCCTCACCCTTCTCACCCATTTGATTTATTTCGCTGCTGCAGCTGCTGCTGGCGGGTAGGTTGGACTCGTTTCCCTCAGCCGTAGTGCGTGTGCGTGTGTGCGTGCGTGCGTGTTGTGCGTGCGTGCGTGCGCGTGTTGTGCGTGCGTATGAATGCGCGCGTGTATGCGATTTATGTGTATGCACGCGTGTGGGAAAAAGATGAAGGCTATGTACAGAATTGTATGTATGTATATAGTGGCATAATTTGCAGGGGCATAATTTGCAGTGGCATAATTTTCAATGGCATAAATTCTTTGCGGCAATACCGTGTGGTGCTTGTATAGGCTGAGCCTACTCTGTAACCACGCACGCAATCTTGGATGGAATCCTGTGTTGAATTTGTAATTTCGATGGAATTATGTTGTAGAATATAACTCTGTGCCTCCATATATACTATTAGTTTCTCTATACTATAATACTATATATATATATATATATATATATATATATATATACAGGGGCGGCGCCACGGTTTTCAAAGTGAGGGGGCCCAATTGAGAGAATGAAGCGACCATGCCGGGGGAATGAGTTATTGGGGAGCGAAGCGCCCGAGCGAGGAAGTCAGGCGACCGAGCGGGGGTGTTTGTGGGAGGGGGGTCCCCCCTCCCACGGCAGAGAGCTTTTTCAATTTTTGCACTGAAATGGAGCGATCTGGTGCACATCGAATGTGAAAATTTCAAATTTTTAAATGGAAGAAAAACGGAAATAACACCTTTTCAGTACATTGTCTATGTACATGTCAACTATAGTGATTAGTGAAGTATATAATTTGCATCAATATGAATACATGTAATAGGAATAAAGAATATGAAATAGTGAATCTCTTTTTTCAGGGCGTACAGAAAATTTCCTTTTCTCCAAACCTGTAATAGTAAAAAGAATAACATTGCTGATATATTTAAACACTTATAACATCCACTCGACTAGCTTTTATCTTTGTTATCTTCATGTGCTACAAAAGTTTTGCCTTTAAACACCCAAGCTGCTAGGATATTACAATTAAAAGAATACATCAACTATTTATTAATAAAAAGACTTAAGAACTAAAGTGCAAACTAACTAAAAAGAATAAAAGGAATTAATAAAATATTATACATAAACTAAGCTCAGTAGGCTATTGTCCCCCAGGTTATGCCGGAACGTACCCTGGGTACGGTCGGTATACCGCTCTTGCGTTGATCAAGCGTCGTTAGCTCTTGCGCTGCTGCGCGTATTAAAGCTGTGGCGTACGCGTGGTGACGTTAGTGCATATTAAGTTACAGTGTTGCCTATGCAAGTACGGTACTAATATTCGACCTCGATCGTGGCCTCGAAGCACAGGATCAGGGCCCGAAAGTCGCGCGTATGGGGCAAATAACGGCGCTGTGCATGTCTGTAAGCTTAGAGGGACTTCGTTCAAACTGTAATTTTCCACAGCCAGCATGAAAATGTGGATAAAAACACTTTTCGCTCTTTCCCCCTTCTCTTCTCCTCTATTCCTCTTTCTTTTCTTGCATTTCTTTCAGACATTAGTATTTCTGCCAAAAACGGGGGGGCCCCCCGCCTGCCCCCGTACGCGCCGCCTGTATACGTATATATATAATATATACTATTATATATATACTATATATATTGATATATACATGTGCGTGTGTGTGCGTGCGTTCGCGTGCGTTGCGGGTGCGTGCCTGGTGCGTGCGTGGTGTGCCTGTGTCTACGTCTCATGAAAATGATTGAATAATAAAGAACCTTGGATAATCAAATAACATCTCACTGTAACCACGCTAATGTTGCGTGTAGGTGTGTGTGTGTGTGTGTGTGTGTGATGGTGGGTGTGGTGTTGTGTGTGTGTGGTGTGGTATGCCAACGACATGTGTGTAGGTGTGGTGTTGCTGTGTGTTGTGATGTAGGTGTGTGTGTGTGTAGCGTGTGTGTGTGTGTTAGGTGTTAGGTGTGTGTGGTGCTGGTGTCGTGTGGTGTGTGTGTTGCTGTGTGTGTGAAACGTGTGTTGTGTGTGTGTGTGTGTTGTGTGTGTAGAGATGCTGATGTGTGTGTGTGTGGTTTACGGTGTGTGTGTGGTGTGTGTGTAGGGGTGTGTGTGTGTAGGTATAGTGTGTGTGTGTGTGTCTGTGGTCTGTGGACTGTGTCGAGCTGTGTGTAGGTTAGATGTGTAGGTTGTGGTGTGTGTTAGGTTGTGTGTGTGTAGGTGGTTGTGTGTGTGCTGTGTGTGTGTGTTATGTGTGTGTTGTGTGTGTGTAGTGTATGTGTGTGTTGGTGTGTCTGTGTGCATGTGTAGTGGTGTGCTGTGGTGGTGTGTGTTGTAGATGTGTAGGTGTTGTGTGTGTTAGGTGGTGTGCTGTTAGTATGGTGTGTGTGTGTGTGTTGTGTCGTGTGTGGTGTGTGTGTCTGGTGTCAGTGTGTGTAGGTGTAGGATGTGTCAGGTGTGTGGTGTGTGTAGGTGTGTGTGTGTAGTGTGTGATGTGTGTGTGTGTGTGGTGTGTGTGATTGTCTAGGTATGTGTGTGTCTGTGGTTGTCTGTGTGTCAGTGTGATGTGGTGTGTGTGTGTGTGTAGATGTGTAGGTTGTGTGTGTGTGAGTAGGTGTGTGTGTTGTGTGTGTAGTGGTGTGCCTAACATGTTATCCCGCCACCCACGTAAGCCGTATTTGCCGAGAGAGGTCACATGTAAGCTCTTCCATTGTGAGATAGTGGTTATAAGTTCACTCTGATTACCGCGGTGTTAGCCGAGCGATCCTTTCAGTGTTCCGCCCAAATGCGCGTGGCGTCTATAGTGCTTCAACTATGGGAACGTTAATATATTTATAATCCTTATATTTCGATATCTATTCTCGCTCTTCTCTCTCTCTCTCTCGTCTCTCTCGTCTCTCTCTCTCTCCTCTCTCTCTCCTCTCTCTCTTCTCTCTTTCTCTCTCTCTCTCTATCGCTTCTCTCTCTCTCGCTCTCTCCTTCTCTCTCTCTATATATAATATCATACTATATATATATATATATATAGAATATATATAAGATATATGAGAACAACCAGCCTATTCGTGGTATAGCTTGTGTACACATTACACATTACGGCTGAATTGAACTGCTGGTGCGTGCGTGCGTGCATACAGTGTGCGTGCGTGAGTGTTGTTCTAAGAGCTTAAGCATGAAGCCATACAACATGCTATCTATGCACATATTGCGTAAGAATGTGTCTTCCCACCTCCGTTCAAACGCTACAGGACACCGTTGTCGTCAGTATGGAACAGTGACCAGCTTTCTCCATCTAGTCCGCTCAGCCACCTTCTTTGTCACAGCGCACAACAGACGCACGTATGACCTTAAAATAACTTTCTATGAATCTTCCGCGCGGTCAACAGCACTTGAAATGTTCCAATAGAGACCCCCCCCCCACACACACACACACACACGACACACACACACACACACACACACGACACACATCCACACAACACACACACACACACACACATACACACACACACACACACACACCTACACAACATCACACACCACACACACACACACACACACACACACACCACACACACACACACACACACGGTACACACACGATACACACACAGCGTACAACACACACGTACACCACCATACACACACCCACACACACCTACACACACACAACCAACAACATTACACACACACCAAGACACACACAACATGACACACCACACACACCAGTCACCACAAACACACACACACACACACACATCACACACAACAACACACAAACACAACACAACACACACACACAGCAACACATACACACACACACACACACACACACACACATCACACCGATTACACACACATAACAACACACACACACACACAACACACACACCA